TCTCTCTCTCTCTCTCTCTCTCTCTCTCTCTCTCTCTCTCTCTCTCTCTCTCTCTCTCTCGCTTGCACTCACAGTGCTACCGAGCGAAGAAGTTTCAATCAGGGATCGCTTGATTACATTTCCTCACGGCGACTATAAAAGCCAAGGATGGTGATACGAAAGGACTTTGTCCCTCCTTTTGATGTTCAAATTTCAATTGAATTGCAGATTTTGCTAGCTGTTCAAGGTAGCAAGGACATGTCCCCCGTTCTTCACGTGGGACTCATTACAGGTAGGAAGACAGTCCCGGGTCCCGCACACATCTCCGGTTCCTTAGATGAGATTGTGTCATTGTAGAGCAGCAGTACTATGTAACAAACATGGCAGTGCTCTCATTATTTAGCACAATGTCATGCGTGATACTGATGTTTGAAGGGACACAGTTTTGCCCATCCGTTTTACCACCGCAAAGAAGACTGCCTTCTGAACCTGAATAGAACACATAGTTATTATCGATGTATCTAGACTGAAAATTGCTCCACATACAGCTATAATGATCGTATATGTTGTATTCGGGTGGAGAATGTAGCGCCGGTGGAGGGGATCGTGGCTCTGAGAGCTGTTATGGCGAAGTAGAGCTACAGTACCATGGTAATAACTTGACTTAATAATAAGCATGGCAGTGCCCTCATTATATTATATAGCCAAAAAATCCTATGCTCGTTTGCGGGACACAGTTTTGCCCTGCCTGTCCATTTTACAATGGGAGTAAGAAGACTAGCACTGGCATGGCAGAGAAGATCGTGGCTCCGACAACTGTTATGTAATAAGCATGGCAGTGCTCTCATTATATAGCACAATGTCGTGCACAATACCGATGTTTGGAGGGACAGATTTTTAATTTTTTATCCATTCTTTTTTTTTCCCCTTCTTCCTCTTACCTGTCACCTGACAGAGTATTTTTCCCTCCAATGGATATTGTTATTTATTGTCAATTTGTCACTACCTCCCGATGTCAGGAATAGGCCATTTACTGATGGGAGAGTTTTGCCGATTCGGTTTTTTACCATGGGAGAGAGGATTAGCAGCAGCAGAGAAGAGACCGTGACTCGGAGAGCTGTTACGTCACGGTCGAGTGGCAGTTCTATGTAATGAGCATGGCAGTGCTCTCATCCATTACATAGCAAAAATGTCGTGCACGATGCTGATGACAGTTTGGAGGGACGCAGTTTTGCCCATTTGTTCTACAATGGGAGTAAGAAGACTAGCACTGGCAGAGAAGATCGTGTCGTGGCTTCAACAACTGTTATGTCGCCGTAGAGCGGCAGTACTATGTAATGAGCATGGCAGTGCCCTCGTTATATAGCACGATGTCATGCGCGATACTGATGTTTGGAGAGACGCAGTTTTGCCCATTTGTTTTTTACCTTGGGAGAGAACTGTGACTGTGAGAGTTGTTACGTCACAGTAGAGTGGCAGTCCTATGTAATAAGCATGGCAGTGCTCTCATCCATTACATAGCAAAAATGTCATGCGCGATACGGATGTGCGAGATACTGATATGTTTGGACTCTGGAGGGATGCAGTTTTGCCCGTTTTTTTTTTTTTACAATGGGAGTAAGAAGACTAGCACTGGCATGGCAGAGAAGATCGTGGCTCCAACGACTGTTATGTCGCTGTAGAGTGGCAGTACTATGTAATAAGCTCCGACAACTGTTATTTTTTTGGCCGTGATCTCATTATATAGCACGATGTCATGCGCAATACTGAGGTTTGGGCGGACAGAGTTTTGCCCGTTCGTTTTTTACAATGGGCGAGAAGATTAGTCAGCAGCAGAGAAGAGACCGTGAGTCTGAGATCTGTTACGTCACAGTAGAGTGGCGGTATACTATTATGTAATGTCATAAGCATGGCAGTCTTTTTATTATGTAGCACGATGTCATGCTCGATACTTATGTTTGGAGGACACAGTTTTGCCGATCAGTTCTTTGACAATGGGAGAGAGGACTACCAGTAGCAACCAGCATGTACCACTTCACGTATCTGTCCCGAAGGGCTGGACCTGGTTCTGCAGTTATGACTAAGCGGACTGACATACGATGCAAGACGGAACTTGGATTCCTGCCAGCCAGAAAGAGAGCGAAGAGATCGCGGAGAAGGAGACGTCTCTGGAACTGGGCAAATCGAAAAGACGGAAGGAAAAAAAAAGAAAAAAAAAGAAGGTTTGAAATACTTTGTGGAGGAAGTGAAGCAGACAAGAGAGAGGAGTACACTCTGCTTTCAGCGTTCTGTGCATTCGCTGTTCGGTGCTTTCACAAAATGAATAATATCCTGAAGCAAACCGACGGAAGGAGAAACCACAAGAAAGCACCCAGAGGGAGAGAGGGAGGGAAATTATTTCAAATTAGTAAATTTTGAAATTTGACCCTGTTGGAAAAGGGTTCAGTAATTTCAGTTTTTTTCTAACTTTGTACCATGATATATACTACCATCTTTTGTTTGTTGCCCCTCCCAATTCAATTGCTGACATGACTGTTCTGCGGTTGCATTGCCAAACCAAGACAGCCGAGTGCGAAGAATTCAGCTTCCGCCTTCAGATCTTCCTTCCTTCGTTCCTTCCTTCCTTCCTTCATGATTCGAACCTATGACCTAGCGCGCTTCAGGTGTACCTGCCAAATCCGTCATGCATCTGTCCATGTTCTAGCGGATGATTCATTCTAATGTTGTACATTGGGTATGTGCTTGTTAGGAAGGGATACCTGAGACCTTAATCGAATGCAACAGATCAGAAGCCAATCCTCGAGGAAGACAATGCGCTCGTCGACTACTTCATGAGCTGAGTCCAAAAATCCTCGAGCTAGCCCCGAAGACAGAAAGGTGGAGGCTGGGAGGCCTCCCTCCCTCAAGTCGACGGCAACTAGAATACCAAACGTCCGAAAATCCTCGAGCTACCCCCGAAGACATAAATGTGGAGGCGGGGAGGCTTCCCTTCCTGAAGTCGATGGAGACAAGAATACCAAACCTACCCTCTCCACCCGAATACAACGTTCCCGGTCCGGTCATCATTCCTGTATTCGGACGGAACTATGCCCCAAATAAATACAGGTATAAGCCTGTAATGACCATACGTTATTGTATTCGGGTGAAGAGGGTAGTAAAATGCACTGTGTGCTTTCATACTTTCATTGCTATGACGCTGTCTGAGTCCAATGAAATGAGAGAAAACTCGGAAACGCGAAAACGACAGAAAAGCGAGACGAGGGGAACAACCACGGGAACCATCGCTCTCGGAAACGCAAAAACGACAGAAAAGCGAGACGAGGGGAACAACCACGGGAACCATCGCTCTGATGGTTGAATCTAAAGATTCTAAACTCTTTAGCGAAAGACTGCAGCTCCTCTCCATTCTGCAGCCAATCTGATCATTGAACTGTCAGTACAGTGGTCCCCCGCCAGGCACACTTGAGAATCGAAATCGAGCCAATCTGCAGACTACTTTGGGTGAACAGTGCTTAGCGCGGATCAAGATGTCTGGTGGTGGCAGCCGGAAAAGGTAAAAGAAAAGGTGCGCTGCTGGTGGCTCCGCAAAGAGATTAGTACACGGTGCAAAACAAATCCGCGACGGCGAAAAGCAGCTCTGATGTACTGGTGGTTTTGAGGAAAACTCCGTGACAGGGTTATTGTTTCTCCGAATCATTCGTGATCGATTGGGTATAAGGATAAGCGCATCGGCAATTGAAATGACTTCCTTTATGCGAATCGCATTGGCACGTGCCAAAATTTCCTTCTGTTTGATCGTCGCCTACAATGGACTCCCTGGAAGTTCGGAAGTTCCCTCTTGTAGCTCAGAATGAATGATTGTGGTGATGGCTATTGAAGGCAGGATTGTTCTTCTGTTTCATGCAGTGCAGGACGACGGCTCCTAGTGTCCAAGGTAGTCTGTGGTCTTTGATGCTGATCTCTTGCTCCCATGTCCAAGCGGAGAGGAACAACAACCTGCTGCTGTGTGCCACCGGGACTCGGCTCTGTCGGCGTGCGTCAGCTAATGCGGCGAGCACGTGGGAATGCCGGCGTGCTTCGGCTGATGTGGCGAGCGAGTGGTAATGCCGGCACACGTCAGCCGATGTCGCAAACGTGCGGTTGATTGGAGATAAAAGTGATGAAAGTAAAGTAGCTGAAAATTTTGAAAAAAACATGTTAAACTTGAAAGTGGAAACATTTCTACGCATGCCGTTTTGTGCTTTGTGTGTGAATGTGATGATGATCAGATCTCGTGAACGCACTTGTGAGGGAGAGAAGCCTCCTCTCCCCTGAAATGCAGGCCTGGCCTTCTGGCTAGTACAGTAGCCACGGACTGTCAGACTGATGGACGGATGTTAACTCACAGATTGCATCTGGACTCGATCTTGGGTCTGTTCATTTCAACTCAATGACATGACATGGGGACATGGGTGTATCAACTGAGTTGCAGAGTAGTTTTCGATCTAAGATAACCCCCCGACTGCATCTGGACTCGAACTTGGGTCTGTTCATTTCAACACAATGACATTGACTGCATCTGGATTCGAACCTAACGGACTGCATCTGGACTCGAACTTGGGTTTGTACTTCAACAACTCGTGAGTGTAGCAACTGAGGTGTACATACAGATTATTAGTTAACTAATTGATCAAGGATGAATGTCATAGGCGTATGATGTCAGTATCGGGGTCAAAATTCTTAGGCTTGTTGATGGATCTGGTCTGACGGTAGGGTAGGGTAGGGTGGTCCTCTCCCTAACTGACCTGTGTGTGGTCTGCCGCATGGGCTGGGTGATCATCATAAAGGTTCGCTCAGCTTAAGCCTGTTAACTTGGTCTTAAGTTTGGTTAACTTGGGGTGTATCGATCCAGCCATATGGGCTGGGTGGTACACCCACAGCGGTCCTCTCCATCACTCTGAGTTAAGCCTGTTAACTTGTGTCAAAGTGAATGGCCCAGCTGGAGTAGGGAAGCCAGCAGTCATGCGCCATTCACTTGTGGAAGCGGTCTGCACGGGAGGCCCAAATTGAGCCTTTCCACACAGGGACTTGGGCTACAAATTCGTTCTTCCTGCTCATTTGTTCCCTGAGCTCGTCCTTCGGCTGGAAAACTGTGTTTTCCAAGCTCTTTTGAGTCTTGTGACTCTTGCCCCATTGTATGTTTTTGTTTTCTTGTGCAAGTCTGTTTGTTTGTTTGTTTGTTTGTTTGTTTGTTTGTGCAAGGAAGATGAGCAATAGCGAACTTCAGCAATCAAACCGCATCATATACACAAGACCAGATAGTCGTGACCTCGAACCAACAGCAGAATTGCATCACGAGTTTCACCAAATAAGAAGACACCAAGAGCTCATAATTGACAATGCTG